GTTGTCGTCGAACCGGCTAACGTTTCGCCAATTATCCTGTTGGCTTCTTTTTCGAAAAATCCGAGAATCTAGAGAGATCTCTAAGCACCAAACAATCTTCACCGCGATTCACCTTTCAGCAATATCCTATTCAATGTTCATGCCTCTCCTTTAGCTCCGTCCCCTTAATATATAAGCAGGTACCAGAGTAGAATGCGAGTCAGCTTCAAGCAGGAACCGAAGCAGGAAGAATCCAGAAGTTTCGTTAATAGTATTATAGTAGCCTGTTGAATTTACTTTAAAAAATTAACAAGCCTTTATAGAAAGGCAATCAAGCACAGTTTCAGTTAAGCTCTGAAGCAGCCAACAGTATGATTGGCGAAACGTTAGAAAGTTCCTGGTACTTGTTGAAAGTTGCCCAGGAATATTTAGACTAGCAAATTCTAATCCGGTTGTTCGAAGTTCATATTTTTTTTGGAACACCATACCACCACATACAGTATCAGTACAGGTGTCCTCAAAGTTTTTGTTTAAATTTCTAAACAAATTTTAAAATGTTGCAATTATGTGTAATAATTATGATAGCATCCTTCGGAAAGAAATGAGTTGAACTGAAAAGTACTGTTACTTTTGACAGTGTTTTGAACAACTGGGTTACCGAAAATTAATTTAAAACTAATAACCGTTATTAACTACTATCTAATAGCTAAAATTACTTTACTTGTTGAAATCGAAAAGTAGTTTAGCTAATGGCTTTGATTTTATGTTGCCTTTTTTGAATACAATCCTACCAACTTAAAATGTTAAATTGTTAAAATATTTTCATTTCAGGGCTATTTCCAAAGATGAAGGGAAGGATTTGGAAGGATCAGAAAGCGCATACGCCGCATATCCCTATTACTATCCCTATTACGGGTACCACTACCCATATGTGGTTTATGGAAGATAAATTTTCACTACTTTGTTTCTTTTATCTACCCCCGCACAAAATTAAATTCAATATTATCTAACGCCATATTTATTTTCCTATATCCTGTGATGATTTTCCTAAATAAGTTTTTGAGAAGGGAATGCTCAGATAAGAATGCTCAGATTCCGCAAACTCAAAAAAAAAACAGTTTAGAAAAATTTTTATATTGCTTGAACTACGCCCATCTCCACTTTATGTCTGTTTTAGTAATTTGTTTTAAGAATTTTCTGAGGCTTGTTAAAGCTTTTCAAAAATATGTACCACACATTAAGTATTGCAAATACAAAGCATATATATTTCAGTTTAAGTTTGAGTTTAACTGCTTTTTAGAAAATTATTAGTTTTTGATATAGCCTATGTTAACCCAAAATAAGGCAATTATTAGAAATTGGATACAATAGCGGTAGATTAACAATGCGAATTTAATATTACACACGCAAATTGATTTTGATAGGTAAACTTTTTGTAATTAATTAGATATCTAATTTATTTAAAAAATCCTTGTATTTGAAGTAACTCTTATGTGGTATATATTCTTGAAAAGCTAATTACAATATATATATATATATATATATATATATATATATATATATATATATATATATATATATATATATATATATATATATCTATATATATATATATATATATATATATATATATATATATATATATATATATATATATATATATATATATATGATGACACTATATTCCGGGATATCATCCGTTCGCTCGTTGAACTCCGACTGGAATCCTGCAAATCTTGCATCCGACTGGAATCCTGCAGACGTTTCGCCAAAATCTCACTTGGCATCTTCAATGCTCGCGCTCCGAAAACACTTCGAACACTCGGAGCGCGAGCATTGAAGATGCCAAGTGAGATTTTGGCGAAACGTCTGCAGGATTCCAGTCGGATGCAAGATTTGCAGGATTCCAGTCGGAGTTCAACGAGCGAACGGATGATATCCCGGAATATAGTGTCATCACATTTTTCCATCCGTGAATCAATACGTGAGAATATATATATATATATATATAACAAATTTTAGTTAATTGGGGTATCGGTCCTGATGAGGGCTCAAATAAAAGGCTTTTGTGCTACACCAAGCTTTCGAAAATGTTTATTTTCTTCTTCAGGGGCTACAATATGAAAGCGGCTCTTAGTTATTTAATACTAAAGTCTTCTAGTTAAAGTACTTACTGCTACAGTGCCATTATAGGCCAACACCAAACTCATCCGGATAACAGAAAGAATCAAATACGACCGTTAATTATTATAACCGAGGGCAGCCATCTAGACGAAATTGTTGTTACATTTTATTTAAACGAATTTTACTTCAAACGCAAAACGCAAATGATGGAAAGGTTTTATTAATATGACTACCGCCAGCCGTCCAGTTTTTTTCCCTTCTTTTTTTCCTTTTGTTACCTCCTTTTTGTTTACAAGGCACCTAATGTATAGAGGCTTGGGACTATTTTTCTAAATTATAATTACATTGTGACGACACTATTATCAGCAAACGCAATTCGATTGACGGTTGGTTGTAAAGTTAAGACATTAGAGTAGATCACACTGAGGCCATCAATGTCAGATCTTTTATTGACCGATTTCGGTTCCAAGAAGATCTCCACCATTTCCAAAATTGCTCTTTTGTTGTAGTTGCTTTCTTTATGGAGAATTTTTGTTTCAACAAAGTTAACATCGTGATCCATTTGGTTAGAGTGTGTTGCTAATGAACAGGTGTTCTTATTGAGTCTGCAATCACTCTTGTGTGACGTAATTCTATCCTTAAGTACTCGCGATGTCTGTCCTATGTATACCTGATCACACTGATTACAGGGGATGCTATAAATTACTTCTGAATTCTTTTGTACCTCATCCTTATCTTTTAGTTTGCTAAAGACACTCCCCAATGTTTTTGTTTGTTTATATGCTATCTTAATATTTGTTTGTGCTCTCAGAATTTTTGTGAGTGTGGTCGTTAATTCTTTAATGTATGGCAATGAAAAATAAAAACATCTCAGATCGTCCATTTCTGGGCTATCTGAGTGGACGACCGTGTTCCGCGGGTTTGGAGCTCTTAGTGGGGTCGTGCTATATAACAATTTTTTAGTTAACCTACTTGGGTATGAGTTGTTAATCAGCATGTCGTAAAGCTTATTAAGATTTTTTTGTCTTAGTGATGGGTGAGAAATCCTCTCTATTCGTGTCTTTAATGCTATGACCAAATTTATTTTTGTTTTCGTTGTATGGTAAGAGTGGAAATTCATATATCTCCCCGAACTGGTCGGTTTTATGTACCAATCTAATATAATTTTGTTATCGTTGTTCCGGATCACTTTAGTGTCCAGAAATGGTACGCTTTTATCAATTTCCTCCTCTACTGTAAATTGTATGTGTGCATCATAGCTGTTAAACACTGTGAGAGTTTCCCTCACGCAACTTTCAGGTATGGAAGTAATTATATCATCCACATATTTTTTCAGAAATGGTAACTGAAACGACAGCTTATCTACGCACACCTCAAGTAGGTCATCCATAACGTATTGAGCTAATATTGGAGAAATGATGGCACCCATCGGTGTACCTAATTTTTGTTTGTAAAATTCATTGTTAAATCTAAAATACGTTGTATCAAATACAAACTGAAGTATCTTTAGGAAACTAATTTGTGACAAATCAGTGTGGTTTCTAATTCTGTTCCAATGTTTTTTTATACTTTTTTCTACCAAATTATATGGAATATTACTAAATAAAGAGACGACATCCAAGCTCACAAGAACATACTTATTAGGTAATTGTTTGTCATTGATAAATGAAGAAAACTCAAATGAATCACCTGTGAAATAATCATTATTCTTATTATATGCTTTGGTTAAAACCTGAGTCAACAATGAAGCCAGTTTACTGTTCGGAGCATTAATTGATGAAATTATCGGTCTTAAGGACAATTGGGGTTTATGTATTTTGGGTAAGCCATAAAATTTAGGACAAGTTTGATTATATATATTTAAAGTTTTGGCTACCTCATTTGTTAATTGTTTTTGATCTTTTAATGATTTGACAAGTTTGTTAGCTTTTTGTTGGTAAGTAGATGTAGGATCACATCTGAGACGCTCGTAATAGGTCCGATCCATCAGAATTTCGTTTGATTTTTGAATGTATGTATCTTTAGACATAATAACTGTCACATTCCCTTTATCGGCCCTAGAAACGACCAACTCAGCGTGATCCTTAAAAAATTTTTTTGTCTTTTTTAACAAAATGTCTATATAGCTACGCTTTGCCGGTTGTTTTAAAAAATTAGTCAATACATTAGTAAACTTAGCTCTTACAGTATTTTTTGCGTTCTCTGGTACAACTTTAATTATAGTTTCTACATCAGCAATTAAACGTTTGACTGAGATTTCATTGCATCTTGGTGGCACGGAAAATTTCGAACCTAAAGAGAGAAACCTCAAGACATCATCCGGGACCTCAACCTCTGAAATATTCTTAACCCAATTATCTTGTGTTTTGATTGTTAAGTGATGCTGTTGCGACTTCAAGTTTTGAAATTTGTTTATGTTCTTTTTTTTGATGGTTTTGAATTTTTTATCACATGACCCTTGTTGTCTTTTACCAAATTCGTCAACAACATCCCCCGGAATCAATGTCAAAACTTTCTCTCTTACTTGTTTGAGTGATTTTTCTATACGATTGATAGTTGAAATAGTGAGTGATATTTCTAAATTAATTAATTTGTTATTCAACCTGGTATTGAAATCCCGAATGCGGTCCCCCATATGTCCATCGGTCAAATCCAAAAGCATGCCCAAATTTCTGGTCCCGTCTGTAATGTGTCTCGGTATGATCCCTGTCTGTCTGCATTTGAGTAAGAATATCTTCCTGTTTCCAAACGATGATAGTTTGCTGCCGAGCCTGGCCCATTGTTTGAGTAGTGAAACTGCTTCGTTTCCATATCGAGCTTTTATTGATTGGAAAAACCCCATTCCTGTAAAATACACAAAACAGTAGTCGTGACCGGCTAGTTGAACAACAAATTTTAGTTAATTGGGGTATCGGTCCTGATGAGGGCTCAAATAAAAGGCTTTTGTGCTACACCAAGCTTTCGAAAATGTTTATTTTCTTCTTCAGGGGCTACAATATGAAAGCGGCTCTTAGTTATTTAATACTAAAGTCTTCTAGTTAAAGTACTTACTGCTACAGTGCCATTATAGGCCAACACCAAACTCATCCGGATAACAGAAAGAATCAAATACGACCGTTAATTATTATAACCGAGGGCAGCCATCTAGACGAAATTGTTGTTACATTTTATTTAAACGAATTTTACTTCAAACGCAAAACGCAAATGATGGAAAGGTTTTATTAATATGACTACCGCCAGCCGTCCAGTTTTTTTCCCTTCTTTTTTTCCTTTTGTTACCTCCTTTTTGTTTACAAGGCACCTAATGTATAGAGGCTTGGGACTATTTTTCTAAATTATAATTACATTGTGACGACACTATTATCAGCAAACGCAATTCGATTGACGGTTGGTTGTAAAGTTAAGACATTAGAGTAGATCACACTGAGGCCATCAATGTCAGATCTTTTATTGACCGATTTCGGTTCCAAGAAGATCTCCACCATTTCCAAAATTGCTCTTTTGTTGTAGTTGCTTTCTTTATGGAGAATTTTTGTTTCAACAAAGTTAACATCGTGATCCATTTGGTTAGAGTGTGTTGCTAATGAACAGGTGTTCTTATTGAGTCTGCAATCACTCTTGTGTGACGTAATTCTATCCTTAAGTACTCGCGATGTCTGTCCTATGTATACCTGATCACACTGATTACAGGGGATGCTATAAATTACTTCTGAATTCTTTTGTACCTCATCCTTATCTTTTAGTTTGCTAAAGACACTCCCCAATGTTTTTGTTTGTTTATATGCTATCTTAATATTTGTTTGTGCTCTCAGAATTTTTGTGAGTGTGGTCGTTAATTCTTTAATGTATGGCAATGAAAAATAAAAACATCTCAGATCGTCCATTTCTGGGCTATCTGAGTGGACGACCGTGTTCCGCGGGTTTGGAGCTCTTAGTGGGGTCGTGCTATATAACAATTTTTTAGTTAACCTACTTGGGTATGAGTTGTTAATCAGCATGTCGTAAAGCTTATTAAGATTTTTTTGTCTTAGTGATGGGTGAGAAATCCTCTCTATTCGTGTCTTTAATGCTATGACCAAATTTATTTTTGTTTTCGTTGTATGGTAAGAGTGGAAATTCATATATCTCCCCGAACTGGTCGGTTTTATGTACCAATCTAATATAATTTTGTTATCGTTGTTCCGGATCACTTTAGTGTCCAGAAATGGTACGCTTTTATCAATTTCCTCCTCTACTGTAAATTGTATGTGTGCATCATAGCTGTTAAACACTGTGAGAGTTTCCCTCACGCAACTTTCAGGTATGGAAGTAATTATATCATCCACATATTTTTTCAGAAATGGTAACTGAAACGACAGCTTATCTACGCACACCTCAAGTAGGTCATCCATAACGTATTGAGCTAATATTGGAGAAATGATGGCACCCATCGGTGTACCTAATTTTTGTTTGTAAAATTCATTGTTAAATCTAAAATACGTTGTATCAAATACAAACTGAAGTATCTTTAGGAAACTAATTTGTGACAAATCAGTGTGGTTTCTAATTCTGTTCCAATGTTTTTTTATACTTTTTTCTACCAAATTATATGGAATATTACTAAATAAAGAGACGACATCCAAGCTCACAAGAACATACTTATTAGGTAATTGTTTGTCATTGATAAATGAAGAAAACTCAAATGAATCACCTGTGAAATAATCATTATTCTTATTATATGCTTTGGTTAAAACCTGAGTCAACAATGAAGCCAGTTTACTGTTCGGAGCATTAATTGATGAAATTATCGGTCTTAAGGACAATTGGGGTTTATGTATTTTGGGTAAGCCATAAAATTTAGGACAAGTTTGATTATATATATTTAAAGTTTTGGCTACCTCATTTGTTAATTGTTTTTGATCTTTTAATGATTTGACAAGTTTGTTAGCTTTTTGTTGGTAAGTAGATGTAGGATCACATCTGAGACGCTCGTAATAGGTCCGATCCATCAGAATTTCGTTTGATTTTTGAATGTATGTATCTTTAGACATAATAACTGTCACATTCCCTTTATCGGCCCTAGAAACGACCAACTCAGCGTGATCCTTAAAAAATTTTTTTGTCTTTTTTAACAAAATGTCTATATAGCTACGCTTTGCCGGTTGTTTTAAAAAATTAGTCAATACATTAGTAAACTTAGCTCTTACAGTATTTTTTGCGTTCTCTGGTACAACTTTAATTATAGTTTCTACATCAGCAATTAAACGTTTGACTGAGATTTCATTGCATCTTGGTGGCACGGAAAATTTCGAACCTAAAGAGAGAAACCTCAAGACATCATCCGGGACCTCAACCTCTGAAATATTCTTAACCCAATTATCTTGTGTTTTGATTGTTAAGTGATGCTGTTGCGACTTCAAGTTTTGAAATTTGTTTATGTTCTTTTTTTTGATGGTTTTGAATTTTTTATCACATGACCCTTGTTGTCTTTTACCAAATTCGTCAACAACATCCCCCGGAATCAATGTCAAAACTTTCTCTCTTACTTGTTTGAGTGATTTTTCTATACGATTGATAGTTGAAATAGTGAGTGATATTTCTAAATTAATTAATTTGTTATTCAACCTGGTATTGAAATCCCGAATGCGGTCCCCCATATGTCCATCGGTCAAATCCAAAAGCATGCCCAAATTTCTGGTCCCGTCTGTAATGTGTCTCGGTATGATCCCTGTCTGTCTGCATTTGAGTAAGAATATCTTCCTGTTTCCAAACGATGATAGTTTGCTGCCGAGCCTGGCCCATTGTTTGAGTAGTGAAACTGCTTCGTTTCCATATCGAGCTTTTATTGATTGGAAAAACCCCATTCCTGTAAAATACACAAAACAGTAGTCGTGACCGGCTAGTTGAACAACAAATTTTAGTTAATTGGGGTATCGGTCCTGATGAGGGCTCAAATAAAAGGCTTTTGTGCTACACCAAGCTTTCGAAAATGTTTATTTTCTTCTTCAGGGGCTACAATATGAAAGCGGCTCTTAGTTATTTAATACTAAAGTCTTCTAGTTAAAGTACTTACTGCTACAGTGCCATTATAGGCCAACACCAAACTCATCCGGATAACAGAAAGAATCAAATACGACCGTTAATTATTATAACCGAGGGCAGCCATCTAGACGAAATTGTTGTTACATTTTATTTAAACGAATTTTACTTCAAACGCAAAACGCAAATGATGGAAAGGTTTTATTAATATGACTACCGCCAGCCGTCCAGTTTTTTTCCCTTCTTTTTTTCCTTTTGTTACCTCCTTTTTGTTTACAAGGCACCTAATGTATAGAGGCTTGGGACTATTTTTCTAAATTATAATTACATTGTGACGACACTATTATCAGCAAACGCAATTCGATTGACGGTTGGTTGTAAAGTTAAGACATTAGAGTAGATCACACTGAGGCCATCAATGTCAGATCTTTTATTGACCGATTTCGGTTCCAAGAAGATCTCCACCATTTCCAAAATTGCTCTTTTGTTGTAGTTGCTTTCTTTATGGAGAATTTTTGTTTCAACAAAGTTAACATCGTGATCCATTTGGTTAGAGTGTGTTGCTAATGAACAGGTGTTCTTATTGAGTCTGCAATCACTCTTGTGTGACGTAATTCTATCCTTAAGTACTCGCGATGTCTGTCCTATGTATACCTGATCACACTGATTACAGGGGATGCTATAAATTACTTCTGAATTCTTTTGTACCTCATCCTTATCTTTTAGTTTGCTAAAGACACTCCCCAATGTTTTTGTTTGTTTATATGCTATCTTAATATTTGTTTGTGCTCTCAGAATTTTTGTGAGTGTGGTCGTTAATTCTTTAATGTATGGCAATGAAAAATAAAAACATCTCAGATCGTCCATTTCTGGGCTATCTGAGTGGACGACCGTGTTCCGCGGGTTTGGAGCTCTTAGTGGGGTCGTGCTATATAACAATTTTTTAGTTAACCTACTTGGGTATGAGTTGTTAATCAGCATGTCGTAAAGCTTATTAAGATTTTTTTGTCTTAGTGATGGGTGAGAAATCCTCTCTATTCGTGTCTTTAATGCTATGACCAAATTTATTTTTGTTTTCGTTGTATGGTAAGAGTGGAAATTCATATATCTCCCCGAACTGGTCGGTTTTATGTACCAATCTAATATAATTTTGTTATCGTTGTTCCGGATCACTTTAGTGTCCAGAAATGGTACGCTTTTATCAATTTCCTCCTCTACTGTAAATTGTATGTGTGCATCATAGCTGTTAAACACTGTGAGAGTTTCCCTCACGCAACTTTCAGGTATGGAAGTAATTATATCATCCACATATTTTTTCAGAAATGGTAACTGAAACGACAGCTTATCTACGCACACCTCAAGTAGGTCATCCATAACGTATTGAGCTAATATTGGAGAAATGATGGCACCCATCGGTGTACCTAATTTTTGTTTGTAAAATTCATTGTTAAATCTAAAATACGTTGTATCAAATACAAACTGAAGTATCTTTAGGAAACTAATTTGTGACAAATCAGTGTGGTTTCTAATTCTGTTCCAATGTTTTTTTATACTTTTTTCTACCAAATTATATGGAATATTACTAAATAAAGAGACGACATCCAAGCTCACAAGAACATACTTATTAGGTAATTGTTTGTCATTGATAAATGAAGAAAACTCAAATGAATCACCTGTGAAATAATCATTATTCTTATTATATGCTTTGGTTAAAACCTGAGTCAACAATGAAGCCAGTTTACTGTTCGGAGCATTAATTGATGAAATTATCGGTCTTAAGGACAATTGGGGTTTATGTATTTTGGGTAAGCCATAAAATTTAGGACAAGTTTGATTATATATATTTAAAGTTTTGGCTACCTCATTTGTTAATTGTTTTTGATCTTTTAATGATTTGACAAGTTTGTTAGCTTTTTGTTGGTAAGTAGATGTAGGATCACATCTGAGACGCTCGTAATAGGTCCGATCCATCAGAATTTCGTTTGATTTTTGAATGTATGTATCTTTAGACATAATAACTGTCACATTCCCTTTATCGGCCCTAGAAACGACCAACTCAGCGTGATCCTTAAAAAATTTTTTTGTCTTTTTTAACAAAATGTCTATATAGCTACGCTTTGCCGGTTGTTTTAAAAAATTAGTCAATACATTAGTAAACTTAGCTCTTACAGTATTTTTTGCGTTCTCTGGTACAACTTTAATTATAGTTTCTACATCAGCAATTAAACGTTTGACTGAGATTTCATTGCATCTTGGTGGCACGGAAAATTTCGAACCTAAAGAGAGAAACCTCAAGACATCATCCGGGACCTCAACCTCTGAAATATTCTTAACCCAATTATCTTGTGTTTTGATTGTTAAGTGATGCTGTTGCGACTTCAAGTTTTGAAATTTGTTTATGTTCTTTTTTTTGATGGTTTTGAATTTTTTATCACATGACCCTTGTTGTCTTTTACCAAATTCGTCAACAACATCCCCCGGAATCAATGTCAAAACTTTCTCTCTTACTTGTTTGAGTGATTTTTCTATACGATTGATAGTTGAAATAGTGAGTGATATTTCTAAATTAATTAATTTGTTATTCAACCTGGTATTGAAATCCCGAATGCGGTCCCCCATATGTCCATCGGTCAAATCCAAAAGCATGCCCAAATTTCTGGTCCCGTCTGTAATGTGTCTCGGTATGATCCCTGTCTGTCTGCATTTGAGTAAGAATATCTTCCTGTTTCCAAACGATGATAGTTTGCTGCCGAGCCTGGCCCATTGTTTGAGTAGTGAAACTGCTTCGTTTCCATATCGAGCTTTTATTGATTGGAAAAACCCCATTCCTGTAAAATACACAAAACAGTAGTCGTGACCGGCTAGTTGAACAACAAATTTTAGTTAATTGGGGTATCGGTCCTGATGAGGGCTCAAATAAAAGGCTTTTGTGCTACACCAAGCTTTCGAAAATGTTTATTTTCTTCTTCAGGGGCTACAATATGAAAGCGGCTCTTAGTTATTTAATACTAAAGTCTTCTAGTTAAAGTACTTACTGCTACAGTGCCATTATAGGCCAACACCAAACTCATCCGGATAACAGAAAGAATCAAATACGACCGTTAATTATTATAACCGAGGGCAGCCATCTAGACGAAATTGTTGTTACATTTTATTTAAACGAATTTTACTTCAAACGCAAAACGCAAATGATGGAAAGGTTTTATTAATATGACTACCGCCAGCCGTCCAGTTTTTTTCCCTTCTTTTTTTCCTTTTGTTACCTCCTTTTTGTTTACAAGGCACCTAATGTATAGAGGCTTGGGACTATTTTTCTAAATTATAATTACATTGTGACGACACTATTATCAGCAAACGCAATTCGATTGACGGTTGGTTGTAAAGTTAAGACATTAGAGTAGATCACACTGAGGCCATCAATGTCAGATCTTTTATTGACCGATTTCGGTTCCAAGAAGATCTCCACCATTTCCAAAATTGCTCTTTTGTTGTAGTTGCTTTCTTTATGGAGAATTTTTGTTTCAACAAAGTTAACATCGTGATCCATTTGGTTAGAGTGTGTTGCTAATGAACAGGTGTTCTTATTGAGTCTGCAATCACTCTTGTGTGACGTAATTCTATCCTTAAGTACTCGCGATGTCTGTCCTATGTATACCTGATCACACTGATTACAGGGGATGCTATAAATTACTTCTGAATTCTTTTGTACCTCATCCTTATCTTTTAGTTTGCTAAAGACACTCCCCAATGTTTTTGTTTGTTTATATGCTATCTTAATATTTGTTTGTGCTCTCAGAATTTTTGTGAGTGTGGTCGTTAATTCTTTAATGTATGGCAATGAAAAATAAAAACATCTCAGATCGTCCATTTCTGGGCTATCTGAGTGGACGACCGTGTTCCGCGGGTTTGGAGCTCTTAGTGGGGTCGTGCTATATAACAATTTTTTAGTTAACCTACTTGGGTATGAGTTGTTAATCAGCATGTCGTAAAGCTTATTAAGATTTTTTTGTCTTAGTGATGGGTGAGAAATCCTCTCTATTCGTGTCTTTAATGCTATGACCAAATTTATTTTTGTTTTCGTTGTATGGTAAGAGTGGAAATTCATATATCTCCCCGAACTGGTCGGTTTTATGTACCAATCTAATATAATTTTGTTATCGTTGTTCCGGATCACTTTAGTGTCCAGAAATGGTACGCTTTTATCAATTTCCTCCTCTACTGTAAATTGTATGTGTGCATCATAGCTGTTAAACACTGTGAGAGTTTCCCTCACGCAACTTTCAGGTATGGAAGTAATTATATCATCCACATATTTTTTCAGAAATGGTAACTGAAACGACAGCTTATCTACGCACACCTCAAGTAGGTCATCCATAACGTATTGAGCTAATATTGGAGAAATGATGGCACCCATCGGTGTACCTAATTTTTGTTTGTAAAATTCATTGTTAAATCTAAAATACGTTGTATCAAATACAAACTGAAGTATCTTTAGGAAACTAATTTGTGACAAATCAGTGTGGTTTCTAATTCTGTTCCAATGTTTTTTTATACTTTTTTCTACCAAATTATATGGAATATTACTAAATAAAGAGACGACATCCAAGCTCACAAGAACATACTTATTAGGTAATTGTTTGTCATTGATAAATGAAGAAAACTCAAATGAATCACCTGTGAAATAATCATTATTCTTATTATATGCTTTGGTTAAAACCTGAGTCAACAATGAAGCCAGTTTACTGTTCGGAGCATTAATTGATGAAATTATCGGTCTTAAGGACAATTGGGGTTTATGTATTTTGGGTAAGCCATAAAATTTAGGACAAGTTTGATTATATATATTTAAAGTTTTGGCTACCTCATTTGTTAATTGTTTTTGATCTTTTAATGATTTGACAAGTTTGTTAGCTTTTTGTTGGTAAGTAGATGTAGGATCACATCTGAGACGCTCGTAATAGGTCCGATCCATCAGAATTTCGTTTGATTTTTGAATGTATGTATCTTTAGACATAATAACTGTCACATTCCCTTTATCGGCCCTAGAAACGACCAACTCAGCGTGATCCTTAAAAAATTTTTTTGTCTTTTTTAACAAAATGTCTATATAGCTACGCTTTGCCGGTTGTTTTAAAAAATTAGTCAATACATTAGTAAACTTAGCTCTTACAGTATTTTTTGCGTTCTCTGGTACAACTTTAATTATAGTTTCTACATCAGCAATTAAACGTTTGACTGAGATTTCATTGCATCTTGGTGGCACGGAAAATTTCGAACCTAAAGAGAGAAACCTCAAGACATCATCCGGGACCTCAACCTCTGAAATATTCTTAACCCAATTATCTTGTGTTTTGATTGTTAAGTGATGCTGTTGCGACTTCAAGTTTTGAAATTTGTTTATGTTCTTTTTTTTGATGGTTTTGAATTTTTTATCACATGACCCTTGTTGTCTTTTACCAAATTCGTCAACAACATCCCCCGGAATCAATGTCAAAACTTTCTCTCTTACTTGTTTGAGTGATTTTTCTATACGATTGATAGTTGAAATAGTGAGTGATATTTCTAAATTAATTAATTTGTTATTCAACCTGGTATTGAAATCCCGAATGCGGTCCCCCATATGTCCATCGGTCAAATCCAAAAGCATGCCCAAATTTCTGGTCCCGTCTGTAATGTGTCTCGGTATGATCCCTGTCTGTCTGCATTTGAGTAAGAATATCTTCCTGTTTCCAAACGATGATAGTTTGCTGCCGAGCCTGGCCCATTGTTTGAGTAGTGAAACTGCTTCGTTTCCATATCGAGCTTTTATTGATTGGAAAAACCCCATTCCTGTAAAATACACAAAACAGTAGTCGTGACCGGCTAGTTGAACAACAAATTTTAGTTAATTGGGGTATCGGTCCTGATGAGGGCTCAAATAAAAGGCTTTTGTGCTACACCAAGCTTTCGAAAATGTTTATTTTCTTCTTCAGGGGCTACAATATGAAAGCGGCTCTTAGTTATTTAATACTAAAGTCTTCTAGTTAAAGTACTTACTGCTACAGTGCCATTATAGGCCAACACCAAACTCATCCGGATAACAGAAAGAATCAAATACGACCGTTAATTATTATAACCGAGGGCAGCCATCTAGACGAAATTGTTGTTACATTTTATTTAAACGAATTTTACTTCAAACGCAAAACGCAAATGATGGAAAGGTTTTATTAATATGACTACCGCCAGCCGTCCAGTTTTTTTCCCTTCTTTTTTTCCTTTTGTTACCTCCTTTTTGTTTACAAGGCACCTAATGTATAGAGGCTTGGGACTATTTTTCTAAATTATAATTACATTGTGACGACACTATTATCAGCAAACGCAATTCGATTGACGGTTGGTTGTAAAGTTAAGACATTAGAGTAGATCACACTGAGGCCATCAATGTCAGATCTTTTATTGACCGATTTCGGTTCCAAGAAGATCTCCACCATTTCCAAAATTGCTCTTTTGTTGTAGTTGCTTTCTTTATGGAGAATTTTTGTTTCAACAAAGTTAACATCGTGATCCATTTGGTTAGAGTGTGTTGCTAATGAACAGGTGTTCTTATTGAGTCTGCAATCACTCTTGTGTGACGTAATTCTATCCTTAAGTACTCGCGATGTCTGTCCTATGTATACCTGATCACACTGATTACAGGGGATGCTATAAATTACTTCTGAATTCTTTTGTACCTCATCCTTATCTTTTAGTTTGCTAAAGACACTCCCCAATGTTTTTGTTTGTTTATATGCTATCTTAATATTTGTTTGTGCTCTCAGAATTTTTGTGAGTGTGGTCGTTAATTCTTTAATGTATGGCAATGAAAAATAAAAACATCTCAGATCGTCCATTTCTGGGCTATCTGAGTGGACGACCGTGTTCCGCGGGTTTGGAGCTCTTAGTGGGGTCGTGCTATATAACAATTTTTTAGTTAACCTACTTGGGTATGAGTTGTTAATCAGCATGTCGTAAAGCTTATTAAGATTTTTTTGTCTTAGTGATGGGTGAGAAATCCTCTCTATTCGTGTCTTTAATGCTATGACCAAATTTATTTTTGTTTTCGTTGTATGGTAAGAGTGGAAATTCATATATCTCCCCGAACTGGTCGGTTTTATGTACCAATCTAATATAATTTTGTTATCGTTGTTCCGGATCACTTTAGTGTCCAGAAATGGTACGCTTTTATCAATTTCCTCCTCTACTGTAAATTGTATGTGTGCATCATAGCTGTTAAACACTGTGAGAGTTTCCCTCACGCAACTTTCAGGTATGGAAGTAATTATATCATCCACATATTTTTTCAGAAATGGTAACTGAAACGACAGCTTATCTACGCACACCTCAAGTAGGTCATCCATAACGTATTGAGCTAATATTGGAGAAATGATGGCACCCATCGGTGTACCTAATTTTTGTTTGTAAAATTCATTGTTAAATCTAAAATACGTTGTATCAAATACAAACTGAAGTATCTTTAGGAAACTAATTTGTGACAAATCAGTGTGGTTTCTAATTCTGTTCCAATGTTTTTTTATACTTTTTTCTACCAAATTATATGGAATATTACTAAATAAAGAGACGACATCCAAGCTCACAAGAACATACTTATTAGGTAATTGTTTGTCATTGATAAATGAAGAAAACTCAAATGAATCACCTGTGAAATAATCATTATTCTTATTATATGCTTTGGTTAAAACCTGAGTCAACAATGAAGCCAGTTTACTGTTCGGAGCATTAATTGATGAA